GAAAATCCATTAAAATTTAACTTAAATTTTGGTGAACGTTGCACGGGTTTGCTCAATTCAGAGGAATGCGTAAAAGAAGCTAAACAGTCACCTTTAGTGTTCATACCGCCTTTCGTGTCCGCACAATTATCTACGATGAATTCATTTTCTTTTAAATATGGACGTGTGGAAATACGCGCCAAGTTACCACAAGCAGAATGGGTTATTCCGGAGTTGTGGTTACAGCCTGTCACATATGCATATGGTGCAACAAATTATCAGTCAGGACAGGTACGCATTGCATTTAGTCGTACAAATGGCACTTTAACTGATTTATATGGTGGCGTTATCTTAAATTCTGAAGAACAGTGGCGTTATAAAAAGTTGTGCCATTTACCTGCAACAACTGATAAGAACTGGTGCGATGATTATCATGTCTTCACATTAATTTGGACTGAGATGTATTTGGCATTCGCGGTGGATAACGAAGAATATTGTCGCATTCATACCTTACGTGACTTAAATACCTTGCCGAATCATGGACAATTAAGTACTGGTACTAAATTGGCACCTTTTGATCAGGAATTTATATTGACTCTGGGTTATGGTGTTGGTGGTCACGGAGATTTTTCGGATAACGAAAAATGGATAACGCCAAAACCATGGGAAAACACCGATCCACGCGCCATACCAAATTTTGTGGATTACTTAAACCACAAACATGGAGATTGGCTAGAAAATGGGCGTTTAAGTATAGATAGTGGTAAAAGTTTTTTTTCAGTTAATTCAAAATATTTTAGTTGAAATAAATATATGTAAATGTTATTATAAAATGTGTTATATAAAACTTAAAAATATTCTTATACTTAGGAATTGTAGATTTTGAATGACATTAATTAACTGCAATAACTCTGAGTGGATGCAACTTGCGTATTAAGTTTTGTTTTTTTTTTTTGACGCATAGGAATTTAGAAAAGAGCATCTTAATATACATAAATGTATTTACAAATTTATATACAAACTGACAAAATTAAAATAAAAGTTTAACTTAACGTTTATTTAAATATAATAAATTATCAAACAAATCATGCTTATGGTTTTGATTCGTCATGAGTTAGTTATTAATAAAAAAAAACGAACTATTGTATTCCAAGTATATAATTTACTAAAAATAAAGGTGAATTCCCTTATAATTTTTTTTATAATTCCACACATAACAATTTTTTAGAAAAATCAAGTTTAACTCATTAAATGTCAAGAATTTTTATTCATCTTTAATATCATTTAATAGCATTTAATTTAAAGTGATAAGTATAAAGCCCAATCAATATATTGGGTCATATAAACAGTATCTGCAGTAATCAAGTATACAATATATTAGTCATTTTTATTTATTACCGCTTGTAGCTTCATAGTTCTATTAGTGAGAACTTCAGTGGTTTTTCAGCGAAAGACATCAAAAAGCGATTTTTAGCCGCTTTTTGATAGCCCAATTTTTACCATAAAGAGAGTTTTGCAGAGACCGAAAGAAACAGTAGTCAAAGGTTTATATGCTAATTGTATTAAAACTTTCAAATAAAGTTTCGAGTCTTTCGAGTCATTAAAGATGTGTATGGCCTGGCATTATAATTATAGAACATAATCCATTTTTTATGACCGATTATAGTCGCTTTTCCATAATTGCTTCATTTTAACCTGACAACTTGTAAACAATAAAGAACCGAAGTATGTGTTTGACCAGGCTAAAATAGTTCGTAATAGACAATTGTCTTTTAATCCCACCAAATATTCAACATAACCTTGTTTGCTATCAATCCAGGCTTTGAAGTCGTTTGTAGAGGGTTATCGGCAATTTACCATGATCACTTGCGTTGGATATTTTGGTATTTGGTATTAAATCCATTTTACACAATCTATATTGATTCGTTTTAAAAATTATACGATATTGTAGCACTTTCTTTATATTATTCAGATAATCAAATTTCTTTACATAATTTGAATGATTGAGTCCGGTCAAATCAGTCCAAATTACGGCAATTCGTATAATTAGGACGGGCGTCTTTGCACAGCTTGCTCTTTTAAAACGATTTCAATCTATCTTTGATATTTAGTGCCTCCGATATCTCCTGATAGCTTATGCGGTGGTCTTGCTTCATCAGTTGTAAAATTGTTTGTACCCCTTTTGTAAATAACTTACCAGACTTGGATGCATCTTTAACATTGACATTTCCGGAATAGAATCGTGTACACTATTCCTGAGTAAGATATCCTCTATCAGCATCTTCACTTTAAGCCACACAAATTTTTCGATATGTTTTTGCAGAAGTTTGACCTTTTTTATAGTAATAAAGCATCATATGGAATTTTTCTTCAGATATTTTTAGATATAAGACAGCGGTTTAAGGAGCCTTAATGAAGTGTAAAAACTAATCGAATTTTTTTGTGTCTGGTCATGGGATGTGATGGAAAGCAAGAAGAAAGGTGACTGTCTCCCTAAACGATGAGTTCAACGGCAATTATTCGAATCCAAACCATTATGTACTCTAGTGAAAAGGAACATAGTGTACAAACACAGATATCTCATTTCAGATACTACCAGCATAAAAATTTATTAAGAGATTATGAAAATACATTTAAGGCAGTCTCAGGTGGCTTTTTGCACCTGAGATATTTTTCCTATTTACTTTTGAGCAGAGAGAATATTAAAATATATCAAGTATTTGATATATTTTAATATTTGTCGGTGTTGCATATTGAACAAATTGACTTAGAGTAGCAGACATCTATATGAGTTACAACTACCTGGTAGTTTTAAAATATGGAGGAATACAAAACCATAAGTGCTCATATTTATTCATAGCCTAATGATCGGTTAAAATAATAAGGGTTAACGTATACTTGAGTCAATTCTATGTGTTTGAATATTCTCCAGAAGTAATTATTTAATTAAATAAATAGTCATTCTATTCTTGTAAGATAAATTGTTATTGTTTCGAAATTATAAAAAGTTAATCTATGTCTGGATTAATTTAAGAGATTTACTCTAGATATAACACAATAGATCACATAGGTCGCGATATATCTTTTTTGTTTTAATATTATTAGTTCCCACAGTTATTATTTATAAAATCACTGTAGTATTCTGTGAAACTGAGTGTCTCTAGTAAGTGATGTTGTCTTGATATCATTATTCTATAATAATGATATTTAAATGTTAAAATAATTTGTATGTTCTCTTTTTATCAGACTATTTAGTATATGAAAATTCAACGAATTATTTTCGGTGAGAATACGGACGGATACCAAAATATTGCGACGATATTTTGTGTAGCGATTAACGTTCTCATCATTGCTAATTGTTAATTCTCTAATTAATTCTCTAATATTTTGGCATCCATTACAATTAAATTGAGATATCTGATAGTTTTTATCATTAAACATAAGAGAGTCTGGAGTTATAGGAGACTCTCCTGCAATATAAAGAACAAAAGAAAACTGTTTTTGTTAAAATAAATATTTATTTCATACTCATAATATAATTTATTTATTTATGCTATCAGTTAAGAAAACTTTTCCACAAATATTTACTAGAAACGTTTTTGTTTAATATGTTGTGGAGTTCACACATGTAGAGTTAACATAAAATACAGCATTATCCTGGCGATAACCCAGACCATCCTTTATAACGAAAGTCCAAAAGTATATTCTATCACCTAGATTTACTACTGCATCATCATTCCAATACGCCCAAAACCCAATTTCATCACTTAGTACATCGACGGACCAATTACCTGCTTCTAAGCCGTTCATTCGCTGATTTAAATTTCCATGAAAAGCAAACAAAGAAATACCAGGTTTATTAGGTATCCATACTATAAAGCCTCTAGGTTCGAAACGCATAAATGAAGCTGATGGAGCTTGAAAATCTTCACCGTTATTACAAGAACAAAGCGTTGCTAATCCAAGGCAAAGAAATACTAGAGACAATCCTATTTGTATAGACATCATCACTTATTGCTGTTTAAACTGAGTATAAATTTCGTAACAAAATTTTGTGTTTATATACATTTTTGCTGATCAAATCAAGTACACGAAAGAAAAGATAAGTAACCTTTATCTATTTTTTCTACGCGTATGATAAGTTTATTTTTAAAAGCTTTAAAAATGAAGTTTACATTACAAAACAGAAATTTTCCAATTATATTTCATAAAAACTTATACAACTAAATTGTAATAGTTTTTCATTTTGTCAATAATGTAGTATATTGTGTATAAATATTGTTATCTATTCATTACTGACTTAAGGCTTAAGAGATTGAAAATAGACTAAGAGATTATAATTAGTCATATACCTTTTATATAGTTATACAAATCAGTTAAATAAAACTGAAGAGATATAAAGAGTAGTAATAAATCTTGTTTCTTTCAAGATTAATCCCTACTATAGTGATAAACTATACATGAGATATTCATATAAAGGTGAAAAATAAATCTTCAAATAAATAATCAATAATTATTAAATAAATGTTATTCATTGTTTATGCTTATATAAATTTATCAGTATGAATAGAATGCATAAGAGGTTAAAATCTTTGTGCCCCACTCATGGAGCATTTCTCTAATATAAAACATTCCCGACAATTTTTTAATTGTACCTACATTACAAAATTTCATTTCTTTATCCGATATGAGATGCTTATTTATGTACTCCTTTCGATTATTCATCAGCGAAGGGCAAACTAAGAGCGCGTATTTTGAGGTCCAATTCTTTTTTCTACAAAATCCACAAATCCCATAACAGTAAGTTCTGAATTTGAGAGAAGGGTCAGAATTCCTGTAATGATTCTTAAATTATTTTCAATTAATTGCGACTTCTTTTATTCTCTTCTCGACTTTTTCTCTCTTTTTTGGTAAAAAGGAATTACATACTCCTAACACTATTCTGTCAGCAACCTCACTTCCGGGAATTCTAGCGTGATCCAAAATCTATAAATTCCATATCTGATTGTTTTGGATAAGGATATTTAGTTTTACGAGACATTCCATCAGCAGTCTTGACGTCTTGATGGAGTGATTTTATTGCTTCCTAGCTCTCTGTGATTCTGACAGTAACACTCAAGATAAGAGTATATGTACCAGTCCATCTGCTTGAAAGATAGCTATGTTTTAACTTAGTAGTAGCTTCAAGTTTTTCAACGAAACTCACAAACAGTTGCTCTGGCTTATTCTTCAGTAATTGGTTATGATTATGGTTGAGTTATAAAAACACTCTAAATATCACACTTATCCACATGGGTGACATAGTTCCTACTTGTTATAAATTATGAAACAATACAAATTCGGATGAATTTTTCATCCGAATTGGTTAACATGACATTCATCTAGATTCCTAAAACTTGCAATTTCCGTTATGGGATTCGAGTTTTTCTGTGGGTTATTTACTCATCAGGTTGCATCAGTAAATAAAAAATTCATTGTTTATAATATAAACTTATAAACAATTTAAGTCATTGCCTGATAACGGGAGTATATGGCAATTAAACAGCTTAATCGGGTCAATGATAATAGCTCATTAATCTATATAGATCTGACCTCAGATTATACAGTGATTTTGTAACTTAGACTAAAGAAGATTATCAGTTTTATCCGAAAGTCAGTTGAAAGTACTGAAAGAATTCCTTGGCAATTGAGTAATTAAGTTATTCAGAATCTTAACACTAAATTTCCCAAAATATGCAGATGTCCTATATTTAGAATGTGGTAGATAATAGAAAAATCATCCGTTAGGAAACCTATTATATTATAAAAGGTTTATTTGTGTATGGATTCGTTTAGGAGATTTACTCCAGAGACAACATAATAGATCTCATAGGTCGCAATTTATCTATTTCGTTTTAATTTTATTACTTGGCACAGTCAAAATCTATAAATTCACTGAAATAATCTGTGAAACTGAATATCTCTAGTAGTTGATGTTATCTTGAGAGATGAATATTGTATATAATAATAAGTTATTAAGTTATAATAATTTGTAACAATTTTATCCTCTTCTTATTAGACTATTTATTATACCAAAATTCAGCGGATTATTTTCAGGCGATTAAGAAATATTATTAATAATTGTTTGAAATATTTCTCTAATAATTGGTCATTGATGTTCGATTACAATTAAATTGAGGTCTTATATATTTTTAATCATTACACACAAGAAAGTCGGGAGTCACAGGAGACTCTTCAGCAATATAAAGGACAAAGGAATCAAAAAAATATTTTTGATAAAATTAATATTTATTTCAAACTCATAATTTAATTTATACATTTGTGTTATAAATGTAACTTAAAAAATAATAGAAAGATCATATCAATTATTAATTTCAGTTAATTAATAAAATTAGAAAACTTTTTATTAATATGATATTGTAGCAATCCTTAATTTTTAAATGAAAGTATTTAATTAAAAATATATTTTTAAAAATATTTTCATAGTTCACATATGTAGACTAAACATAAAACACACCATTATCCTGACGATAACCGAGACCATCCTTTAAGACGTAAGTCCAAAAATATATTCTATCACCTGGATTTACTACGGCATCATGATTCCTATACACCCAAAATCCATTTTCATTATTAGTTATATCGACGGACCAAGTACCTGCTTCTAAGCCGTTCATTTGCCGATTTAAATTTCCATGGAATGCAAATAAAGAAATACCAGGCTTATGTGGTATCCATACCATAAAGCCTCTTGGTTCTAAGCGCTTAAATGAAGCTGATGGAGCTTGAAAGGCGGTAGTACCAGTCAAAAGCGTTGCCAATGCAACGCAAATTAAAACGAAGGACAATGTTGTTTTTATAGACATCTTTACTTAATAATGTTTAAACTGAATATAAATTTTATTTCAATATTTTGTGTTTATATACATTTCTGATCATCTCATCAAGTATGCAAAAGTGCAGATAAGAAACCTGAATCTATTTTCACTATCCACATAAGTTTTTTTTAAATGTAATAAAAATAAAACTTACTAAAAAAACGAGGTTTTCCCTAAAATATTACATATTAAAGTTATTAAATCATATGTAATAGCTTACAATTTTATATATATATAATGATAACCTAAATAAGCCACACATATATAACCTTTACTTGGGAAATCTAATAAAAGGTCTATGGCCCATTGTGTTGAAAGATTAATTTGCAAAAAATATAATATGTTAAAATAATAATTAATAATTAATTAATAATTAATTATTATTAATTAATTAATAATTAATTTTTTGCATCTCCTATGACTTCTGGGATCAGTTGAAATAGTTATAAATAAATATAAAATATATAAATCAAATGAACGCTTCCAACGATCTATACAAACGTGTAAGAAATGCTTCCAAATGTTAATGATCTAAAAAAATATTTGTATAGGTACAATGACTCTTAAGCTAAGAAAATTTTTAATAGATCCGAAAGACGCATACACCTTAGTGTGCGCGTCTTTTGTGAATGTTTCTATATATATTCAATCTAACATCAGGGACGTAGTTGAGCCGTTCAAAATTTATAGCTGCAAAGAATCTGTGCGAATGTTAAATCTAAGTTGGACTCAGCTGAAAGAATCGTGTAGCTTCAACGGGGTGGATTTATAAATTAATGGGTTGAAATTTATATATGCAACTGAACAAAAAAACAGATGGATGACATTTGGTGACATTTGTATTTTTGCGTGACAACTAACGGTTAAGCAAGTAATTTTTTCCAGGCCTCAATATGACCAGAATTATTCTTGGTGCATAATAGAGACGTTTTTCATATCTAGAGATTTGAGGCCTTTGTTCTGAAATAAGTGTTCTTAAAGAATATAATGTCTCGATATAGAATGCAGATAACCGGTGTTGATAATCGACCTCACTGGTGTTATTTAAATTGCGGTAGAAGTTGAAACATTTATTATGATAATAACGGATTAATATAAGCAATTAGGTGGGACCGCTGTATTAACTGTCACGCCCTTGTGATGTCTACCTGTGTGGTATGAAAGAATAATTTATGCTAATTTATGCTATTTATGTTTATGGTAAATATATAATATGTCTGTAATCTGTTGAAGAGCGTAATACTAGAATGAAGATTGTAGTTCAATTATATAGTGATAATGTGAATATAGGTTGCAAAAGCAACGTTTTGTATTTAATTTTGTAAAATTAAGATCTATAAAAGACAATCAAAATTACTCTTGCATAAACCATATGAATAGACTATATAAGCTAGTAGTGGCTTGAATCAATCACAAAATAGAGAAAATAATCCCCTGATATATCTTGCCCACTTATTAATATTTTATACTATGTTTAGGCTAATGTCCCTAACTCGAGAAAAATGTAGCAATATTTACCATTTTTCTTACAAAATCCATATAAAAATAAGCTTAATTGCTTCGATAAGTCCAAGTGTGGACATAATATAAGTATGTATATACAAATTTTGGTATATAATAATATAATATTGTAATTACGAAAAGAAATAACTTTGTTCATAACTTTATTCATATTTACAACTACAAATATATTGACTACCCATGATTTTGTAGCAGATATATATATATATATAAATTCCTTTAATTCCTAAGAGGAGCATAGAACTGCTTTGCAGCAAATAATGTACTCGCTAAAGTTGAGCCGTTTGAACTTTGTGGAAGTGTGGATGCTGTTACAGTTGTCATATATACGGGATATATACAAAGATCGTATTATACGGTCTTTGGCATTTAAATCAATTATCAATTAATACAAATCCTACGCGCATTTACGGTTTTACGAACTACAAATGCTTTTGGTTTTGCAGATGTATGAAAATTTTTATTTTTGTACTTTTTTGACATTTCTAACTGCTGAAGCTAATTTGCAATAAAATAACAACAATTTAAGTTATTTAAAGTTAAATTATTGTTAAATTTTAATTTATTTACTTTTTCATTGCAAAAATATTAAGTAATTCATAAAAAATTTATAAATGATGAAGTGGTTTTTTTTTTGCAACAGCTATAAAGTTTTAAAAATCTATTAAAACGTTAAAAAATATATTTTTAACTTTTACTAATTCTACAATTATTAAGAATTTTACAGGATATAGAGGATATGAAATAATATATGTATGAGACATTTATAAGAATTCTCAGGAAATGCAAAATAAGAAAGTTTTTGTGACTTACCCACACTTTACTTGAATTCAATATTTTTGAGTCTATATTAACTTGAATTTCGGATTTTGTTAAATTTACAACGTATTTTTTTTAACACTTTCGCTTATAAATTTGGTGACTTCCTTAAATTTATACACTTTTTTAATAACTAATTTTCACGTACAAAAATTTAAAACTGAACGTCAAAATTTGTAAAAGTATAACAGTTTCAAAAGCATTCAAAATGTTAGAAGTAAAATAGTGCTGCCTACTTTATTAAAAAACTGTTGTAGTTTTTTTTTGTGGATTACCAGTGCTTCTCAACAATCAGCTGTTTTATAACATTTGCCGGCTTTAGTGGATTTGTGTTTTGGTAATTTTTTTTATTTGTGCGGCAATATGCAGGCAATATTGAAACCGTCGCGAAGATTGTTAAAGAATTATTTAATACCAATAAAACATAATGTACAATTGCATAAACTTGAAATTCCAGGTATGTTAATATAATCTCAGAATGTGAAATAAATGGCATAAAATGAATACAAATAAATAAATGTAAATTATTTTTAACTAAATCCAATATATTTTGTAGCTTTATCACTTGCACCTGGTTATCAACCACAAGAAGTGGAAATTAACAACTTACCTGATACGCCATTAGAAGCAAAATTAGTCACCCAAAGGAAAATTATAAATCGAGGACCTTTTCGTATGTTATTGCCCCCACCAAATGTAACTGGGGATTTGCACTTGGGCCATGCTCTAATGGCTATTGTTCAGGATGTACTATGTCGTTATCATCATAATTTAGGTTATGATGTTGAATGGATACCTGGCACGGATCATGCTGGTATTGCAACACAAGTAGTAGTTGAAAAGCAATTATTTAAAAAACTTGGTATTACGCGGCATGACTTGGGAAGAGAAAAATTTCTAGAACATACTTGGCAGTGGAAAAACGAAAAAGGTCTGGGCATATTAGATGATTTAAAGAAATTAGGTTGTATGCTAACTTGGAATAAGGAATATTTTACTATGAATGAGGTTTGAGTGACAAAAAATTCTATTATTTCATTTATTAATTGTTAAATATTTTAGCAACAAATAGAGGCTGTGCAAGTGGCGTTTATAAAATTGTTTGAAGATGGTCTTATTACACGGAAAAATTCATTAGTAAATTGGTCTTGTGCTTTGGAGTCAGCAGTATCAGATATGGAAGTGGAAACAATTGAATTAAAAGGTCCAACAGATATTTGTGTGCCAGGCTATCAACATAAAGTTCCCTTTGGGAATATATATGAATTCAGTTATCGCTTATGCAACCAAAAAGATGAAATAATTGTGTCAACTACTCGGCCAGAAACGATGCTTGGCGATGTTGCTGTTGCTGTACATCCAGATGATCCACGCTATATAAAATACCGCAATATAGACAATGTAAGCCTATGGCATCCATTTCGACAGGAACCAATACCTCTAATCTTTGATATAAATGTCGATCCTGATTTTGGTAGTGGTGCAGTTAAAATCACACCAGCACATGATCAAAATGATTTTCAAATAGCTGAGAGTCATTTGTTGAAGTCGATACCAGTTTTTACCAGCAAAGGCACAGTGGTAGAAGGTTTTGAAGTATTCAAAGGCATACCCAGGTTTAAAGCACGTGAAAAAATTCTAAATATTTTGAAAGAAATGCAGTTATTACGAACTGTAAAGCCACATGCAATGAACTTGCCTATATGCTCGCGTTCCAAAGATATTATTGAGTACATGCTGTGTCCACAGTGGTATTTGCACTGTCAGCCAATGGCAAACGAAGCTATGTCTGAAATACGTAGTGGACGTGTACAGATAGTGCCATCTAATTTTGAATTAGATTGGTATCATTGGTTGGAGGATTGTCATGATTGGTGTATTTCAAGACAGTTATGGTGGGGACATCAAATTCCCGCGTATGAAGCAGTAGATTCTGTTGGTAAAAGCTGTTGGGTGGCTGCAAAAAATGAGGTAGAGGCTCGAGCAAAGGCACAGAATATATTAAATACAAGTGATTTTAGCATTAGAAGAGATGAAGACGTATTGGATACTTGGTTCTCATCAGCGCTTCTACCTTTCTCAATACATAATTGGCCCGCTGTTGAATATAAACAGCATTATCCGTTGGATTTAATGGAAACTGGGCATGATATATTATTCTTTTGGGTAGCACGAATGGCTATGCTTGGTTTAAAACTCACAGGTGAAATGCCTTTTAAAAAAATACTACTGCATGGCATTGTGTGTGATGCACACGGCAGAAAGATGTCGAAAAGTTTAGGAAATATTGTAACACCGCAACAAGTCATACAGGGCGCATCATTGCAGGTAAATCCATATATATTTATTTATAAATAAATTAAAACTAAAAGTTTTATATTTAGTCTATGACAAACAAACTGCAGAAGGCCGAGGCAGGTGGTACACTAACTACTGAAGAATATCAAAAGTCTGAAAAAGGTTTACAAAAAATGTTCCCTAATGGCATAAAGGAATGTGGCACAGATGCGTTACGCTTCACACTTTGCAGCCATAATATCAAATCTCATTTTATTAACTTTGATATCGACGAATGCTACACAAATAAATTGTTTTTGAATAAGATTTGGCAAGCCACACGATTCACACTTATTTCGGCTCAAAACTTAAAGTTTTCCTTAGATGATATATCCACTATGCATGCAATACGCATGAATAAATGGGACAAATGGATATTAAGCCGTTTGGCTTATACTTTAGAGAAATGTGATGAAGGATTCAAAACTTATAATCTACACTATGCAACGGCAGCACTTAAAACATTTTTTTATAACAATTTATGTGACGTTTTTCTCGTAAGCATTTTAAATTTATAAATATTATATATATAAATTTATTTGTAACTTCTTTAATTTGTATGTAAAGGAAACAACTAAAGAGGATATTAAAAATATTGAGATGTCTGGTTATATGCATTTGGCCACACTTACCGCTTGTCTCGTTTGGGGTCTACGCGCTATGCAACCATTTACGCCATTCATTGCTAAGGAACTCTTATTACGCTTGCCCGAGAATATCTCCATGAATACAAAAGAATTTCAGAATACTGCTGTGGAGGCAGAAATCTCAAAAATTCTTGAAATATGCCAACATGTTCGTCAGTTAAAGAGTCAAAATCAAATTTCTAAAAAACATGCTCCTAAACTATATTTATATGCACAAAATGATGGGGCAAAAAATATGTTAAATAAACATCTTTCACAAATAAAAGCACTGACTATGGTAGATACAGTTGATTTGGATGTGGTAACTGATGCACTTGAAGCAAATACATTCAATTTCTACTCCACTGGAGGACATTTATGCGTGTTTGGTAACATGTTAAATACGTTACTAACAATATTTTTCCTAATATTCTGCTTTTAATTTTAAGGTCTTACAGTCAATGAAACTTACCAAGCGCAGACAGACAAATTAGAATTCGGTATGGAAATAAATAAACGTAAACTGGAAAAACTTCAAGCCGAACTACAACGTTATCGTTTGCGGGTGAACAATGAAGGATTTATGAAATCTGCTAGCAAAAAAGTGCAAGAGAAAAGTCTTGAAAAGGTAATTTCTCAATTATATAGAGAATAAAGCTTATATATTTATATTGTTGAATCTTTTTAATTAATTGAATTTTTGGCTGACCATACATTGTTTCAAGTATTGTCAAATAACCATCTTCAGCTGTCTTGGAATTATTTCTTATATTTAATTATTCGTAATTAATTACTTTGTTTCTAAAATAGATTCGGTAAAATTTTTGTTGTTGCAATTCAGTACTGTTCGAAATCTCTCTATTAAATACAATAGTTTCTATTAAGTGAAATAGTCACTACCATTAGAATTGACTTTAAAACCAAATTTAATATAGAATTATAATAGAAATAAATATGAATAAAAAATATATTCAATTTCCAACCTCGCTTGTACGAAGCGTAGAGTAATATTAGCATGACTCTCTCCGTATTACGTTCTTAGATTAGCTTCTATACACAAGAAGGAATAATGAAATCATGTAATAAATAATGCCTCTACAAAAGAATAGTATTGAAATTTAATAATTAAAAATACGAGTTGAATAACTACGAATAATATTAATTAATTCAATTATTCTAAAGAACTTTCAAGTCCGGCTTTAGATGTGTTCGCTAATGACCACTGACTCTGAGCTTCACATTTGGCAGGGTACAATTTCAATCATTGGTACTTGCATTCTTAAAAAAATTGTTCACGAATAATTCAATTCGTAATCAAAAAAAAATAATTAAAGATATGAAATAATTAAATATTAAACCAGGCTCACTGATAATAGATATTTGGTAATACCCAAAACAGCTAAAGATTCAATTAAAAATAAATAAAAAATTTTGTTTTTGCAATTCAGTACTATTCGAAATCTCTTTATTAAATATAATAATTGCTGTTTAATAAAAAATAAGCAATAACTGAAATTAAAATCAAATTTAATTGATGAATCTTAAAATATTACGAATGTACACACACATTATCTATATTGTCACTATACGATATACTATTATAATATATTTATTTTTATTCTTTCAGATCAAACAATTAGAAGTTGAAATTCAGAATATACTAAACTTACGGAGATGAAACTCTAAACAGTGTTAATGTTGTGAAAAAATCTTTTTAATACCATTTTACTAATCCACTAAGAAAATTTTATACGTCATCGTCATATCATCTTACATTTTTTCTTGACTATTTATTAAACAAAGAAATTGCATTTGACTTTATTAGATACTTTTTATATCATAACTATATGTTTACAAATATATAACAAAGATATATATTATATATTTAAAAGAACTGCCATATATTTTCATATTACTATTAACATTATTACTCTCATAACTAGAGACAAAATTTAGTTCCACAAGTGGCTTTTAATTTAATAATAACTTATGAAGTTATTTACTTAAGTTTTTTTGTTTTTGTATTAAAAAAATATGTGATTAATAAATAAAATCGAATTATTAATTAAAACAGAATTATTATTTATTTTATTTTATTTTAATATTTTATTGTTAGTACTACCTAAATTTCGTATCTACATCTTGTACTCCATTTTTTATGATGAACAAGTGGCAATCACCAAAATATTTTAAACAGTAAATCTTTTGGCTTCCTATAGTGATTTGTAATACTAAGATTCTCGATGAATCTTTGGAGCCACTTATTCAAGTTCTAATAATCTCAATATTTTAAGCAATATCTTTTGATCAATTAAGGTAATTTACTATACCGAGATTCTGGATCTACGCTTTGGAGCTATTTATTTACGATAATTTAATCTTAATCATCGTAATATTTTGAGCAAATAATTCTTCTAAGATAATTTATAATACAGAGATGCTGGGCCTATCTTTGAAACCACTTATTTGCGATAATCACGTTTTAATAATCACAATATCTTAAACAGTAAATCGTGTAGCTCCGAAGATAATATATAATACCGTGACTCTGTGTCTATCTTTTGAGCCATTTAATTACGATGATCCAGTTCCGATTAACCCAATGTTTTAAATAGTAAATCTTTCAGCTTTCTAAGATAATTTATAATACCAAGATTCTGGGTGTATATTTTCTATATATAGTATATATATTTTATATAAGCAATAAATATTTTCGGTTCCTAATATAATTTACAATATCAAGATTTTGGGTCTATCTTTGGAGCCACTTTAAATGTCAATCATCAGAAATTTCAGGAAATACATTTTTCACTCTTTTAAGACAATTTGCTATAAGATTTACTTTACAGGCATTCCCTAATCAGCGTTGCTACAATAGGCACTGAGGGATTCTATATAATTATTATGAGAGTTCGAATGGTAAGAATCTTAGAGTGGTTAAGACCACTCAAGTCTAAAACTTACAACACAACTCTTCTTTACAATTTACAAACCTTTTCTTATTTCATATTGGATAACTGAAACCAAATCAGTTCATGTTAAACTATTTTTCTCCAAGTTATCTCTGGCGTCCCAGGTTATTGCAATCTTATAGGTTCCGGTTTATTGTCGTGCAATATTGCAATTTAGTTTATTGAGAGTGTGTCCTACATATCGCCATTTCCTTGTCTAAATTTCTTTTGTTGCGTTAGACTGTATTGGACTGTATTGCAGTCGTACTTTACCATGTTTTACCTTCAAACAAAGTTTCGAACCGGTATTTTTTCTGTTTCTGTTCTAAACAAAAAAATATATCGGTTCGGTTCCGGTTTTCGTTCCGACAAATATATCGATTCTTTTCGATATGGTTCCAGTACGAAGCCCTACTTTTAAAACAGAAAAATGAATAGCGTACAATGTTGTTTATTCCTCTCGGGTGCTGTAACTACATCTGTACTAAACATGATGACATATATCTGTTAAATTTGTTCTGTCTTCAACTTTCTAAAGTGACAATTCAAGATCTGTTTTCATACATGCCGTTCATCACAGCACGGTCATAACATACCGGTTCTTTTTCTAATAGTGATAACCATTTAGGTTTTCTCTTATTACGTTTGATTAGTGTACTATATCCATAAGAACGATAGATCGATGTGAGTTACAGTAATATCGTGTGAATAAGAACTTCGTTGATGTACATTGAGGTTTCACGTTTATGAAATTCAACAAAAATAAACTAAAATTATAATATAATAGTAAACTATATCTAAAACCTCATATGGTATATTGTTTTGTTTTTACTACAACTAAATATGGTACATACCTACAAATGTGGCAGTTGGATATTTGACATTCGTGTGAATAAGAACTTCGTTGATGTACATTGAGGTTTCACGTTTATGAAATTCAACAAAAATAAACTAAAATTATAATATAATAGTAAACTATATCTAAAACCTCATATGGTATATTGTTTTGTTTTTACTACAACTAAATATGGTACATACCTACAAATGTGGCAGTTGGATATTTGAATAAAGACTAACTTAAATATAAACACAGTTTAGTTTTAGGAAATAAATATTTTAATATAAAAACTTATTTTCTAGTTTCTTAAATGATTGGACACGCATTTTGTGAATATGATAAATAGAATCCTCTATTTGATATATCCAAATTTTCATTAGCATCGGTTACCACATACAGAACAAACGGTTTCGTATTACTCGTCGTTTCTACCAAACCTAAACCACAAAATCTGTCACTTGGCAAAACAGCATTATTCTGCAGTGGATTTGGTATTACAATAAAATCAGTAGTACATTCCTGACTTTGTACATCTGCAGTGCCTAATAGCGTAGGATCAATGGCTCCTACATCATTTGTTAATGTGAATGAATACAAATCTGAGCTAACTTGACTCCATGTGATCGAACATTGATTAGCACCCATGCGTATGCAGATACCATAACGATGACTTGCAATCTGTCGTGTACCAGGAACTCCAATTGAATTTAATAAAGAGTTTGGCGCTGAAACATAGTTAAAACTGGACACAGTACCGCTAGTGTCCATATAATATTGTAGGCAACCAGATGGTGCTTGAGTAGCTGAAGCGCATGCTAGTTGTGTAATCTGGAATTGCCACTGTCTGTTAAAGGTGTAACCCGCTGAACTCGCTAAAGCGATTGTGATTGATGACTGTCCACTAAAATCGACATAAACATGTTGACCAGAATTTTCGCCACAGATTGTTGGTACCCTAGAAGCACCACCCGATATTGTCAGGGAATCGGTATTGCACACACCATCTCCACTTGGTGGGGCTAAAGATAAGGCTAAGAAATCAATACGTAGCTGACAAATGCTACTATCGGTTGGTTGAACCACAATTGAGCACCTAAAAAAAAATTTATATTATATATTATAAATATATATATAATTTTTAATACTCAACAAATAAAAGTCGAGTTTTTTTTTATTTTGAACACTATGTTAGAATTGTACCTACCTACCGCCACCACCATAAGTACCCGGATAGCCTGAATTGTAGAAATATGTGTTATTGTTACTTGTCGTTGATCCGCATGTTTTTTGATCTGCAATATTTTGAGTTAAAATTTATATTTTAGTATATTTTTAAATAATCTGTAAAGGAAATCTTGCTTACATATACAGCATACAGCTTGACTTGTGACCGTACTACAGCTGCCAGCTGCAATACCACCATTGTCGCTACATTCTCCACTCAACATACAAGTCCCATCTAAGTTATTTGATCCTATACATACTTGATTCTCAAAACGACCGATTGTATAAAATGGAAAAACTGAAAATGATATATAATTGTATTTTTAATAAGTACGAATATAGAAAAATAACTGTATCAAATATTGCACAGTGAATAATTAAGTACCCAGGAAAATCATTAGCAATAAAATTAAAAAATTATTGTTACAAGACCCTTCAAAACGTGTTCACACAATGTCTCCTAATTTCAGGAAGTTCAACACGAACAGTTTTTTTTTACACTTAAATGTTTTTCTAGCGTATAAATCTAATTTTACGGCAACTATGAACATTCATATACATCTACCAGCTTAAATGTATATATAAATTCCTTTAACTCCTAGGAGGAACACAGGGCCACAATAAATTTTTCTATTCAGAACGGATATTAGCTAATAACTTCAATTCTCTCCAACTTTTCTGCATACGTGACACTTTTGGCATCCGTTTGTTTTTACAGGCGTGCGCCGAACTACCCCTTCTTCGGCTATCCATGGAGTTTTACTCGATCGTCACTGTATGGCCTATCCAGTCCCACTTGCGCTTTAATATCTCAATATTGATTGGTGTTTCATTAGTGTTGGTTGATTGGCATGCTTTCGGTATATATACATATATTTAATCCCATTTGAAACAGGCTTTTTATAATAATCTCACTAGAAAACAGTGGATCATCTAAAGCAGTGACAATTCCTCCGGCCTAACTTAAATCAGGTTATGACAAAGATACAAAATGATATGACGGACAAATTTATCAGCTGTGTACACTCTAATTGCTGCGTTTTATTTTGTAGCATTCAATTTTCTCAATGGAAACATATATCTAAAGCCAATTGATCTGTGACTTTATCCTACTGAGGTGACAATGTTTGTGAACATTTGGACTTGCTAGATTTATTATTTTTTTTACACCCTTTCACATTTGCAATCAAGTCCTATATTTTATTTTCATTTTGAAACGTTAAGATTGCCTTCAATATGAAAGGCTAAGTGTACTATCTTTCTACCGGTCCCGATTCTTTTCATTAGTGACGAAAGAATGTCATAGACCAATGACAACAACAATAACATAAAATTAACACAGTATCTCCAAACAATGTATTTTTGAATAATATAGATGGTGCTGCGAAAAGAGGTTTTTAAATTAATCTGATATTATTTTATTGATTAAAAAGTGTGATATTTTTTGTTTTAAAAATATTTAGCTTTTAAAACAAAATTTGTTAATTTCTTTGATAATGAAATAATTGGCAATTAATAATGTTAATAGCCAATAAATTAGCAATTTTTACTACATTGTTAATTCATTAGCTTGGTCGGGTCTTAACAATACGTATGGATCATATGTATTTGTCCCTTTTAGCTGTACAGCAGGTTGAGTCATTTTCTAGATAACAGATGTATATTAAACTGTCTAAGTGTTTCATATGATGTATTTATTGATCTCCTTTTTAAACTGTTTTGTTTTTAGCGCTATGGTATTCTAATTACTTAACATATCAAGCGCATCTTTCTTGTTGTACATAGAGCCCTTTAAATGTACTTCAAATTAGCACTTTTGGTGCACTTGTATGTAATGTGCACTTTACATGTAATGTAATATAAGAAATAAATAATATTATAAATAATTTAAAGTGCTGCTTTGAAGCGCATAGACTACGGTCTGAACTAATCAAAAACGAAAACCTTATTTCCAATAATATGGTTTTCTAAAAAGAAGCATTGTCAGCAAAGAGAGCGATATGTTTCATTGTTGCTTTAGATAACATTAATAATGCTTTTAAACCGATCGGCTGATTGCTGGGTAATTATTCAGCCTATGTATGTAAAGAACTTAACTCTCTAGAACTTATCCTATCACTTTGTAATGTACTTCTTATATTATTATTCGTATAAATCTTATTGATTATGGATTGTAATCTATAATTACTATTGAACGAATGAAGTGAAGGTAAATGGCTACATTCTATACAATCAAATAAGACTTTTTTAAATTTATTTTTTAAATAAAATATAAAAAATACTATATTCATATATATTTTATATAATATATCTATTATAAATAATGTTCATATTATTATACAACTTACTAATGGAAAGTTTTTTGAATAATAATGAATGACAATAATTTTTTTTTTTTGCCATCATTAGCGGTCTTCGTTGGTCTTATAGGTCCATTTTGTGTAAAAGTATTAACCAAACGACCCAAAACTGCACGAACCTTTCGTTGTTGAAATTTCAAGTTTTTTGTGGCTTTTTTCTGATTTCTCTGAGGATAACAACCAAAACAGTTTTTAATTAGAACAGCATTATAAACCGCAGTTTATAGACATTGCAAACAACCAGATAATCAGACTGACACTTCTCTACGGGTGTGTTACGTATAGCAAAGCTGACAACTCTACTATCCAGAAGCCATGAATGGCATGCCAAGAGACCTCAAAATACACCCGCTCAAAAAATTCATAAGGAACAGAGCTCTGAAGCTATACGTGAAAATTGACAGGCTGCACTACATGAGCACTACCTAATCTCAGAGCAATCATTAGTCATATGGGGCGGTATGCAGATCTTAGATCAGTCATTGAATAATCAGCGAAGCTTGTGAGGAATAAATTAATTAGTGAAAGGGAATAGAGAGACTCTGTAGAAACCCCCTGCTAAGTAAGAGTAAAAGCACCCAGTTGCACTAACTCGGAATAACTTCAAAGTTTTATTGTAATTCAGTATTCTTCCATACCTACTTTAATCTATAACTAATGGATACCGAAACTGCAACTCTACTTTACATAAGGTTATGAATTTATTATCAATACTGTGTTACCAAATATTTTTTGAATTGTAGTTCAAGATTATGTTGAATAATTTTATGATTCTATTTTTTTGACCTTAATTAAGATTTAACAATTAATTATATTAGATGTATTGAAAAGCAATCCATTTTTTCCCAATAAATGTCTTTAAGATCGCCGATTCGTATCCCGCGATGTATAACTCCAATCGGGTTAAGCTTAATGGTGTTCGAAAGAATTGCCAATAGGGACAAGAACTTCTATGAGAGAGGCAATCAAACAAAATGGCGCATATTTGACCTAAATCATTCTAACTATAATATATAAGCCTTTAATTTTATGTGTTATATAGTAGTTCAAAATAGTTCAGAAGTAGGTCATGGATAATGATAAATATTTTCCGTTCACGTGGTTTCGACACTTAAATCTCCCATAAATTTAATTCCAAAGAAATAAACCATTATGAAGTTCCTCTGCAAAAGCGCGTTCTTTGTTATCGTTGGTTAATTATGAGACAACTATGATTATTCTTAATTACATTTTCTAAGTCCCTCTTTATGTTCTTTTATTTTTTTTTATATATTTATATTTTTATTCTGATTGATTATTTCACAAAAATCTGTGTAAAATAGTGAAATCGAAATGTGTCTTAAAAAACGCGGATCAAGTCGTAAATAGTGAAATCGAAATTTCTCTTAAAGAACGTGGACCAAGTCGTGATCTCGGGATGAAAAATAACAACATATTTAACTAAAGATTAATATATTTTTATAAAATAGTGAAATTGAAATCTCTCTTAAAGAACGTGGATGAAGTCGTAAATAGTGAAATCGAAATCTCTCTCGAAGAACATGGATTAAGTCGTGATCTCGGGGTGAAAAATAACAACATATTTAACTAAACATTAATATATTTTTATAAATTGAAGCAATTAGTGAGTGAAAAAAATGTCGTTTTAAGTAAACACATAATATTAAAGACAAATGAAAGATAAAAATCGAAAATGCTTTGCAGAACAAACAAAAAACTAAAACTATCGGAGAACTTAACATGAGTAACCTAAATTTGACTAATAATAATCTGTTGCATGGACTTAATCAAGCGTTGACCCAGAACTGGTGTATAATTAGTGCAACGTTGGATATGTTATTAGCACCTCACGTTAAATGAAATGTTAAGCACGCAACTTTTCAGTTTTTTTTTGTTTTAAATATTAATTTATTAACTTATATATTGATAGAAACGAATATTGGAATTTTAAGATACATTGATAAAGATACACTTCAGTTAGAGTAGAACGTTAGGAAAGAAAATATATATATGTTTAAATTTTGCAGGTCTTTAAGTCATGTTTTTGAAAATTATATTTTTATATAATAACTTCTATTATATAAAAACAAATTTAATATAATATATAAAAATAAAATTCGTAAAACACGATCTAAATCCCGGCAAAATTTAAACACATAAGTATTGAGGTCGACACTAATATAAATGTTCGAAAGAAAGTAATATATATAGTTAATTACGTTAATCAAGTATTATAAATAAATAATTGGTTAACAGATAGAGAAAGTGGTATTAAATTAATTAAAACAATTATTAATTACTATTAATGAATAGGTCTTTATCACTTTTAACCTTTTGAAGAGGTTGTGAAGGATTAATTTAAATATTTTTGTTAAGTTTTGTTAGCACACACACATACTCACATCTAGGAGTTCTCGAAAAAGAACGACTGAGAACCGATGTAGTATTGGAGAACACAGATGAGTTTTGCGTCTCCGTTTGATATAGGGAAGAAGCAGTATAATCAACTGCATCCTTACCAACCACATAACCGACTATGCCTAAAGTAATTAGGCCAGCTAACACCGAAAATGTCATATCCATTATTATTAATATTTTTAACAATATTTATTCTGTATTTTAATAATATGTATAGCAAAAAATTTTGATTTTGCCGCCTTTTTATTTACACAAATATTTTTTATTAATGTAACTTGAACGGCAGATAACAATTTTTAATACAAAATCTATTTAAACTGCTCTACTTCACGGTTCTATGGTTTCACTGTGACTAACTACCGTTAAGCCTTTAAACTTGCATTTGAACTCACTTGGTCATATTCTGACAATACGTTCCTTCTCAGAAGAGAGTTAAGTAAATAGACTTCGATTGGAGTGAAATAATACAAATGAAATACATTGTATGTTAAATGTGCTAATTGAAAATGATCGATTCTGTGGATACATCTTCACTGTAAGTTATTAATTGTACACGTTGAAAATACACACTACACCACCGCACCATCTACCTAGCTGTCTACGTACCACCTACCTATGGAAGTGTCTTCGTTGATGGTTCTGATACGTAACAGTAGTAGTGACATAGATGATGGATCATGCATCGGTCATTGATCGTTGGTATTTCTGTATTTAGACCACTAAGTTTTTATTAACCAGACATTTTATCTTTTTTTCTTCTTCTTTTACTTACAACTAATATTTTGTATATAAATATATATATATATTGTTTTATTTTTTTGTTAAATATTTACTTAAAATATTGTTTAGGCGCGCGTGGTTTTCTTAGATATCAGAAAATTGTTTGTATTTTCGGTTTTAAGATTATCCATTAAAAAAAGTGAAAGAAAGAATAGCAAATAGATTCACTTACGATATCACAAAACCATGACATGATTATTATAACATTTATATGAATTAAATATAATCATAACATACATTTTTTCTAATGAAGGTCTTGTATAAGTTTCAACTAAGAGAGAAAGTTTGCGAAAAATATGTAAAATATGTTGATTTAATAATAATAATTTAAATTATGAAAAAGAAAAAAAATATATGAACTGGAAAGAATAGTGATTGATGATTTTTCAAGTGATTATGTCTTCTTGGATTAAGCTAAATATATTTACTAATAACGTAAAAAAATTGTTTAAAAATTGCTGAGCAATTATCTGTTACCAGATTAATAAAAGAGTAGAGCGTAAGTACGAACCCGTCTTCCATGAAAACCGACTAACATAGGCCCCAAGGACTAGGACCATTGTAATAACAGAATTATTCTTAATATATAATAATATAGTAAATCATTATTAATATAAAGTAATATAGTAAATCATTATTAATATATTTATTTATTATAATTAATTGGAAATTATAAAATCTTGGCCAGGAAAAACCCTGGCAGCCTGTATTTTTAATACATTTAAATATCAAAAGTATATTTTTAATAGTAATTTTTTTTAATTGACCGGTAGATATTTAAAAAGATATTAATTCGAATAGAATCAAAAGTAAAGCAATCGTTAAGTATATGATCTATGGATGAATTATTAATATATATATGAGAAGTTGTTAGAAAAAACAACTAATTAAAAATATATACTAAAAATCTTTACATACATATAAAATTTATACATTATATTTATAATAAATTTTTGAATATAATATTAACAATTTATGGATGGGAGTTCGTCTTAGTTTTATATTTGTGATATCCAGTAATTTTCATATAAATCAAATTTTCTCAACCCAAAAGGTGTTGCGAACCGGAAAAAATATTTAATGTGTTTTATAAGAATCGGTAATATAATCAAAGGTCGGTAATCCCCTGGGATCTATAAAGCAGATCACACATGGGCTAGTATGTGAATAGTTGATGGTCGTTTGAGGGTAGAAGGATAGAAGGGATGGGTGGGGTGCAAAGATCAGTAACAATATCTTCAAAACAAAAAAAATTATATCGTTAAAGGCGAAATATTTGAAGGACTGATGGCGTTAACGGCTTGAACTGGCAGTTCAAAATGTGGATACAAACTGAATAATATATTGTTATTAATACATTTAGAAGTAATAATGGATTCATAATTTTTAATATAAAATTGATAAGAATTTAATTAATAAATAATTAAATTAATAATTTCTTATTGTTGTAACCCACAGGGGGATCTGCTTGTGAAAACCCTTTGGGGAAGTTGAACGGCATTTGGTCGTTGAGATTGACGAGTGGCTCCGGGACGTAGATGCGGCCATTCCTGAGCTCATAATAGTTTCTTCATCACACTTTATGTCACAATGTAATACCAGATATGGACTTCAAAGATACTATTTTAAAGTACAATAGCAAGTTTGAAATAATTTTTATCATTATATTTAGTTCATGTTCATTTAAAACCTATGTATTTTTTAAAGAGTACTACATTTAATAAAAAATATTTAAAAAATTTTTTAAAATAAATTATTGTCGTGACATGATAACAAAAAGGTTTATAGAGGCTAACATATCAGCTTATTGGTTTAACTAAAAATAAATAATAAATCTCAACTTAAATATTTTAAATTTTATTACCTTTTTATTGTAGTAAACAATTTTAATAACAGTAAATAGTATTAAGGAAAATAAAAGCTTTATTCAATTTCAATAACAGCTCCAGCCTTAGTTAATGCTTCTTTTAGTTTCTCTGCTTCTTCTTTGGGTATATCTTCTTTGACAATTGTTGGTGCACTTTCAACGAATTTCTTAGCCTGCACCAAATTCATGCCTTCCACAAGATTTTTAATTTCCTTAATTAGCGCAACTTTTTGTTTATCATCAAATTTCATTAGTTTGACTTTAAATGCGGTTTGTACTTTTTTTGGTGCAGCCTCTTCATCGTCATCAGCAGCTGCTGAGCGTGCAGGTCCCGCTGCCATTTGTGGTACAAATGCTGTCTCAGGTAAATTTAGTTTTTTCTTTAACAACGAACTTAATTCAGATACTTCTAATAAATTTAATCCTGCAATACTATTCACTATGCTATCCAATTTTGGGTTCAGCGGTTTTGCGCTACCCTCCGATACTGGTATAGTTATGTTAGCTCCACTAGCAGCAGGCGCCGCAGCTGCTTCAGCTGAATACATGCGGCTAACACCTTTATTTGGTTTAATTTGACGTAATAAAACGCGTGTAAAGTTCATTTTGTATTAGTTTTAGTATGAATCTATTAATTAAAGAAATATATTAATTAATTTTTATTTAAAAACATTAACTTTAACTATAATACATAATGCAACACACTTGCCTGTTTTGTCTAAAAGGTTATGTAAAAATTATGACAGCTGTAAAAGTGCTACCAACTCTAATGTTATTGACTTGATGACAGCTAAAATAAAACAGCTGATTTTGATATTGTTTACAAGACCATCTTGTTGATAAATTAGCAAACAAGCATCAGAAAATTTGTACTATTTAACGCACATAAATATTTCATAATTATGTCTGAAGAAATCGCTTTGGATGCTGATAACGTAAATGCAGATACAAATAAAGTTGTATTTAAAAAGAAATCGAAAAAAAATTTAAGGCAAAGGCGACAATCTGAAGAGGATGATGAAGCGGAATCGTCAGTACAATTGAAACATGTAATAATTCAATATTCACATATTTATAATAAATTTTCTTAATTTTATAGAGCAACATTGGGAGAAATCAAAGAACGTCAAAAATTGCGACAGCGTCCAAATGGTGTAAGCGTTGTTGGTTTAGCTTTAGGTAAAAAACTTGCACCTGAGGAAGAAATTAATATTGTATGTTGAAAATTAAATCTATATTGTATAATGTATTAAAAATAATACAAAATCTATTATTTTTATAGAAAGATCCATTTAGTGCTAAAAATGGTGGACTAGTAAATATGCAAGCACTTAAGTCTGGCAAAGTAAAAGAGAGTGATGATGCATACGATGTTGGCATTGGTACACAATTCTCTGCTGAAACTAATAAACGAGATGAGGATGAAGAAATGATGAAATATATTGAACAAGAATTACAGAAGCGTAAGGGCCTGAAAAAGTCTAACGCAGAAACAGATGAAAGTGATCCAAACAAGTATTTAACTCCGGAAGAGGCGGCACTTTATGCATTACCTGATCATTTACGACAATCTTCAGCAAATCGTTCCGAAGAAATGTTATCAAATCAAATGTTAAATGGTATTCCAGAAGTCGATTTAGGTATTGATGCTAAAATTAAAAATATTGAAGCCACCGAAGAAGCCAAACAGAAAATGCTACGAGATCAGAGAAATAAAAAAGATGGTCCCTCTCAATTTGTGCCCACAAATATGGCAGTTAACTTTATGCAGCATAATCGATGTGAGTAAAGATTATTTTAGTGTTTAATAATTGTGTAATTAATTGTTTAATTATTTATTTATAAAAATTGCAGTTAATATTGAGGAAAATACTGAGCAGAAAAAACGAAAAATTGATCACGAGCAACAACAACGTAATAATGTTGGTCCCAATAACGTTAAACGGGCCACTGATGATTACCACTATGACAAATTTAAGAAGCAGTTTAGGCGTTATTAAATGGACGCATATTTTTCTTTTTATATATTTTTTATATTAATAATAGATGTTACTCTGATGTTCGTAAACATTAAAATATATTTTATTTATACCGATATTCAATACATGTAAGTCTTGACTAGATTAGAGGGTAATTGATGGAGACTATACAAATAAATTATATTACCACTTCTTATAATTAATAAGATATGATTTTTATTTACTCTATAGATTAATTAGAAAAACTACAATTCGTTTACCCCAATTAAATGCTTAAAAATGATAGATTCGTTATTATCCCAGTTAAACTCTTAAAAAATATAATTGAAATAGAAAAAGTATGTGTTGTGAATATTTTCTTATAGTTTCTGAAGTTTTAAAATATATACAAAAGTGTAGTAGCGGCAAAAGTATATAAAAAGTTTGGTGAGATAATTTTATTATTGCTAGCAGATTGAATTTCCCTTTCAATTATATCTACCGCAGTTGTGGAGAGGACGAAGAAGGTACCTCTCATCTGCTTTGTTATTGCCCAGTACATGTGCGGTGCCATCTTATTACTCTAGGGGCCTCCTGTTTGTTTTGTGGAACTTGGTCAACTGCAAGACCTCCCATTAAATAGTATTTTAAGCTTTGGCAAATGTTCAAGAAGGCTTTAAACCGCTAAGTTTTTCCGTTATACGGCAATACACTGGGTCAATAGGCTTAAGTGAATTCCTTTGAATAGCCGGTACAAACTAACCTAACCTAACTTAATTATTTAACAACAAATAAGATATGCAATAATATTAACAAAACTATTTGCTTCCAATTCATCCAAATATGTTGACTTCATTACGTTATACGTAGATGAATATCAAAGTCTAAATATCGACATATGTGTAAGATAGATACTTGTGCAACACATAGTTTAAATTTACTTTTAATCATACGCCTGGGGATTTAGAATAATGCTGCTTGATTCTTAGTCTAAGATGCTTTATAAATAAACCCGTTCCAAGATTCATTTCAGAAAGAACACTATTGAATTCAATGCTTTACATATATACAAAAAGATAATAACGGCTCTACGATGCAATCAAGATAGTTTCAGTGGTTTAAATTTTCATGGTTTTAGAAGAAACACTATACTAAATACTATATAGTAGTTTTTCTGTTAAGCTTAGTTTCGTTTGGCTGGCTGTAAGCTACGCATAGACTTATAAATCCCTATAATACCAGACAGAGTTAAACCTTTATCCAAATTTTGTAATAGACACTTCAAATTTTAGGAGTGTTTAAAACACTTTTTTGAAGACATAACCATCAAGAATTTTTCTTTTTTTAAATTTTTAATGTACTTTAGACCAGATCTTTGTGGGATTTGAAATATGGTAATGTGTGTCAAAGTTCTGGATAATATGTATCATCGCAATAAAGTGGTGTCTTACTTTAAAACTATTATTTTATTTTCTCGAAATATTTCAACAATAATACTCCCTTTTTTCGTGAAAAGCATATAAAACTACCATGTAAGACTTTAATTCACTAAATTGTAATATTTTAAAAAAGAAAGTCCATTGTACTGGAAATTCAATTCCAATTTTTTGCAAAAATTGTTAACTCCTTTTAAGAAAGAGTTAAGGAGCTGATACTTACACTACTTATAACGTTAAACTAGAGCGCAACTCAGGACTCAGATTGGTCTTGAGCAGTCAGAACAAAATCCTAGGAAGTGTTTCATGTTGTTGCCGTCCTTCAAACAAATTAGACATAAGTTGTTATAAATGAAGTCAAGGTGAGGGATATGTTTAGCGTAGGATTTCTTCCACTGCTTGGGTGTCGTCGTCGTTGTTATTGTTGTAACCTGTGGGGATCTGCTTGTGTAATCCTTTTAGAGGTGGTGAAGGATACTTGTTTGAAATTGGTGAGTTGCTCCGAGACATAAACTCGACCTTTCAAGGAACATGCTTTCTGGTAAACTCAATTTGATCTACCTAAGTCATCATAATATTGTCATTTTTTTACTTTCAGCCAAATTTCTGGTAAACTTAATTGGGTGTACTCTAGTCATCATGATATTGCCATTTAATATTGATATTAATATGTTTTATTCTAAGCTGTAATATACTGAATAGAGCTAAACTTTTAAGTAGATTTTATAGTAGACATTTTTTGGAAGATTGTGGCCCTTGCCTAGATTTTTTTTTAATAGATAATATTTAATATTATAATAATAATAATATTTAATATTACAAAAATAATAATATTTTTGTTTATCAGTAGCTAAATTTTTGTGGTTGGAAAAAATTATCCCAGAAACGATATTATAACTAAATTCAATGCTTAACGTAGTGGACTCTTTAATGAAACGAGAGTTTTGTTTGTAATTTTAGTTGTCAATTGTTGTTGCTTTTAATGCAAAATGAAAACTTTTGACAGCTAAAATTACAAACAAAAGTCTAGTGTGAATCCAGTATTAATTTAAAGTATGAACGTGACATAAAGAAGTTTGTTTATTAAAGTGCAGTAACTATCTTTTATAATTCTATTTAATAATCATAAATAAAACTTAATATGTTAAATTTGTAATTAAATTTAATACTTGTAGTAAATATGCATTTGTTTTTGTATCTGCAATTAAGCAATAAAATTTGATAAGTCTTAGGTTAGTTTTTCTCTCTGCCATCGTCTTTATTGAATGTTGTTTATTGTGGTTAAACGACGAAGCTTAATAACTTATTCAGCTATTATCAATTCGAGCCACAAATCGAATTAAGTACGTGACTCAAATAAATGCAACTTAGACAACATCACCAAAAAAAGATGGTATATTTAAGGAAAAAACCATAACGGCTGTCAATATGACCAACTGGCAACTAATTAACAGGGGATTTTTTCCTTCGCTGTTATAGAAAACTGGCAATCAATAAATTAAAAATTTTATTTAAAAAAAAGTGAATGTAATAACTCGGAGAGTTGAGGGGAGATAATTTTACAGGAATATTGAGAAAATACTATGTCAGAAAATAAAATCATAGTATCTTTAAGTTTTTACATAGTCAATTGGGTATCAGATAGATGTGGGTTGAGTGAGTAGTTATGGCGGGCTAGGTACTCGTAAATGGAATTGAGATACAATCGATGATGTGTCTTTAGGGAGTCAAATATTTCAAAGTTTTGTTGGAAATTTTGTTGATTTGATTGCCAGCTTTTATTTTTGTACAAACCATGTATTTTTAAGTTCAAAAGCTTTGGTGTTAATTTAATTTTTAATTTTTTTTTCTTAAAACGTTACTATAATGGACAGTTAACCTTATTTGTCGTAGTGAAGAAATCATAGAAAATTGGAGTAGTCGCTATTTTTTATGTAATTATTATTTATGTTTTATTGAACATTTTCGTTTATATTTCAAAGTATAGAAACGTCCAAATAATATTAGAAATGAAATCATATAAAACATTGTAGCATAATTGATCCAAGTTGGAAAATCACAATTGTACACAATTGCCTGAACAGCCCAGAGTAGCCCAACTGTGAATTGTGTCTTAAAAAAAAAAAGAAATCATTTAAAACTTAATTAATTTTGCTTTTATAAATTATAATAGTACATTTATTGTGTATTTACCAATTGTAGTAGAGTCAAATATTTCTTCCACCACAGATATTTTCGTATTGTTGGTCCAAATGCACTCAGACCGTAATATGTGTACATGACGACGTGAACAAAAGAATTTATTAAAGTTGGAAAGAATGCTGTAAATATAAAATTAACTTAAACGAGAAATTTGGGTTTAAATAATAGATAATAATGGAACAGGCAGTGGCGTACCCAAACCAAATTAGGGGATGAGTCGCCTTTGGCTTACGTAGCTATATAAATGAAACTGTTGTTAAATTTTATTATAAATAATTAAACGATTTACAAAAATATTGTCAAAAAAATATTTTCTTATAATAATATGACTATAATAATATATATTATAATTAAAAAAACTAAATTGCTTTCGATTTTCATTGTCACATATACCACAGAGCCAAGAAAGCATATAGTATATTCTTGATCAGCTTGAAGAGTATCAGAATTTGTTAATAAACAAATTTGTTCGATTCCTAGTACTTACAGTCTCAAAAAAATTATTTATGAATAATTAAATACAAGAATTATTTCCAAGACCACTGATGATGGGTATTTGGTAATAATTGAAACAGCTGTATGGTCAGCCAAAAATTTAATTGATCAAAATAATATGAAAATAATTTTTGTTGTTGTAGCTCACTACTGTTCGAAACTTCTCTATTAAAAATCACAATTTCTATTAAAGTATAATTAAAAATATGAAAATAAAAAAAAATATAAAAAATAATATGAAAACATAATATAAGAAATAACATAAAAATAACATAAAAAATAATATGAAAATAATATACAAAAAACAATAGAAAGTAACATAAAAATAATATAAAAACACTATAAAAATATATAAATAATATAAAAATAATTCAAAAAATAAAGATAAAAATAATAAAATAAAATATTTCTAAAAATAATATAAAAAGAATATAAAAACAGTATAAAAACAATGTGAAAATAATATGAAAGTAATATAAAAATAATACATTATTACTTATATATTATAGTATTATATATTATATAAAAGTAGTAGAAAAATAATATAAAAATTTATAAAAATAAAAAAATTATAAAAATATTAAAGTAATGGAAAAATAATTCAGAAATAATAGAAAAAAAATGTATATGAATAATACAAAAATAATATTAAAATATAAAAATGATTGAAAAAAAGTTTACTTGAACCGGTTGGCACCCATTTAATTGCTATCCACCATAAAGGAAACATAGTGCTGTGATGATATATATGCAGGAAACTTAGTTGTTCATACTTTTTCCGTAATATGAAAAAGATAGTGTCGGCAAACTCAAGTAATTTGGAGAAGTAAAACCACCAAACAGCTGTAGCAATCTGAAATTTAGAAAATTGGAATATTTCAGATAATCTATATGACTTCCAAACCTTCATTTCATATTTGCTGTATAACAATTTGCAGGGTTCACAAAAGTAATTATATTTTAAATGCCAAGTTGAGAGAAATATTTCCTTGAATATATGAGCATTAAGAGCAGCCATTGAAATATTATAGACTATAAGTATGGTTTTCAGTTCCAAAGGTTTGTGACTAAAAATATTACAAAAAAATAATAATGAATATGTGGAGTTCCTTAGTTTCTTTCTGCTTTCTGTACTCACTTTTTAAGCCATTTAGGCATATAAAATACTAACAACAAGTACAAAGCCACCAAAGTAATCATATTCCAAAATGAATCCACCAAAAGCCAATGTTTAGTTCGTTTATCTGCTAAATGTTCGTAGGGAAAATGCGTCAAAAATATCGTAAAATTTACCATTTTTGGTATTTTTATAACTTTATTATAGTCAAAATATTATTTATATTGGCAAAAAAAAAATTAATTTAAAAAAATTGAAAATTATTTGTTGGCTTGTTATGACTTTAACTTTTTCGAATGAATTAAACTGCATTTCAAAAAGTGACATCGTTTTATCTGAAAGCCCTGAAGAAATGTGTCTTTGAGAGTCGTTCGAGTGTTAAGTTAAATTTAAGTAAATTTATTTACAATTCACAAAAATAAATAAATTATAAAAGTAGACAAAATAGCACAAAATAATTTGATCTTCAAATTATATAAGAAAAATATTTTGACGAAGCAGTGAACCAGAACTTTGACATAAATTTCGGACAATTTGACATATACAAAGTACTTATAGGTCAAGTACAAATTATTTAACCTGTAATTTGACTTTTATGTCTTTTTGACTTATTTATAGCTGAAATAATTGTCTATTTAATGTATTAGCAAAAGTTTCGTAAACCTGAAATAATTAATAATTATTGAAATTAAATAATAATTTACTTAATATTGTTGAAACATGAAAGTTTTTTTTTTAATGTAACCCAATATATTGAGAAAAAAGTTTGGTATAACATATAGTTTAGACTGCAAATTGAAAAAGTTTTAAAGTACATATCCACTTAAAATATTATATATGTCTTAATTTATTGCCATTATGACTATTAGTTGACAAGTTATAAGAGTTTTTGTAAAGTTCAGGCTTGGTTGTAAGTCACACATAGATTTATTGGTCTCTAGCGGCACTAGGTAGAGTCTCTAAATCTCTAAGTAGATTTTGTAGTACACATTTTAAAAAATTTAGAGGTGTTTGATGCAACATTCCTTTGACAAAACCATCAAAAATTTTTTAAAGTGTTTTCAATAGCATGATTTTAGCCCCTTGAGAAGTAGTTCCAGTACAAATGAATTCTGCCAACAGATCGAATCAAGTTTTTGTCAACAAACCTGTAGTATTTGTGGATTATGTACTGTTTTTTGAGAGATAAAAATATTCTTGTAAAATAATAAGTTCGGTTTAAACGTATGTTACACTCCGTCATCAGACAGACAGTATTGATGTTCTGGATGTGTAAATTAAGCCGCTCTTGCATTTTGGGCTGCTACTCAGAAAAATATCAGAAAAATCTAAAGAATTGTTTTGAACAATTATAGATTGAAAGTTGGAAAAGGTAGCTAACATCAAAAAAATATTAAATAAATATGTCAAATAAACATTTTATATTAATCTTTCTTCATTATAAAGCAAGTGACAAAGTGGGTACTACAGGCGATCAAGAGCAGTAACGCTGATGATTTCAAGTACTGTTCTGATTTACTTAAGCTTGGAAAGCTAACTTAAGCTTGGGTGACCCGCGGTTGTATGGTAAAATATTTTTTCGAAGAGATTTCTTATATCATTTCGAAATAAAGAAAAGATAAGAAAAAAAAGAAAAGGAAAGAAAAGAAAGGAAAGGAAAAGAAAAAAAAAGAAAAGAAAAGAAAAGAAAAGAAAAGAAAGGAAAAGAAAAGGAAAGAAAATAAAAGAAAAGAAAAGAGAAGAGAAGAAAAGAAAAGAAAAGAAAAGGAGATAATAGAAAAAAAAATAAATCGAAAAAATTTTAAAGAAAATTTGATATTAAGTCGTAGAAAACTTAGATATAGACTCTATTTAATTGTAGATAACGTAATTTTTTAATTTAACTAGAAACTTAGATAATATGTTGTCTATTAATTCCACATTTTTCTCTATAGATGCGATATACTATACTTTATAGTTCTGCGCCAAGTTTGTACTGGTGCGCCAGGCCTTCTAGAGCTTTGAGGGTTCAATCTGAGTGCTGTTCTTGCAGCATGGATTGTAGGTCTTCGAAGTGTGTGGCCAATCTGAACTGAAACGGTTTCTTGTTTTGTACGGCTTCACAAATCTTTGTTTCTAATTCTCTCATGCTATCTTAGACAAAGTATTCTGCGCACTTATTTATGTTGGTCTGTATTTTTGACCCAATGCGGTTGGAAGCTTTTCATCTTTCACATCCATAGAAGAGCATAGCTTTTATATTTGATTCGGAGTTTCGTTTCACGAAATTGGCAGACCTACTCTATTTGAAATCTCCATTATACATTTCTAAGAAATGGTTTGAGGAAAATTAAAGTCACACAATGGCTTTTGATGTATTCCATCTACCGAAAATTGAATAGGGTTATTAACACTTGAACCTTTAGCATTTGGAATCTTTCATTATGAATTTCAAAAGGCGTGATTTTAGTGGAGTTTTAGTGTCACACAGAAATTTGTTATATTCCATTTACGAAAAGTAAAGCTAAACTTTTTCATCAACCTGCTAACTTTTTCCATTTATTAATGTATTCCATATATTTCTATATTAAATTTAATCAATCTTAATATTTGTGTACATAAAAAGGATTTATATTTTCCTCTGATTGTTTTATATTTTTTTAGTTTTTTTTAATAAATCTTAACTCGAATACAAGTGATGAAGTAAAGTCAGTCTCTCTGTTTGTAGTTTTATTTATTGTTTGATTTTTTAATGCTTTTCTCAAGGCATGGAAAGTTAACATCTGAATAGAATATTTTAACAGTGCCTTATTTCTTCTCAGTTCTTTTTTTTATGATATTGCACTTAAAACAACCACGTAAACGATTTTTATGGTTCTAAGCAAAATTGAATTGCAACGAAGCATTGCAATACGAGTAGTCCTGGAGGATGAACGACGGCACTACTTCGATTACGGCATGTAAAAAAATTCAGAAGCAATAATGTTTTAAAGAAAATTTCATTGATGTACAGGCATTTTCTGGATGTGGCTGTCTTTTATGGTCTTATATGGATGACTTTACTGGTGGAAGAAAAAAGGATTTAAAAGGATTGAATTTAATAAATATTAAACTCAAGTATCGACAATAGATATTTTGTAATTTTCTTTTATAAATTTAATGGACCATAAATTTATTTAGTTAGGAAATATTTCTAGTAAACTTCTAATGCAGACATAACTACAAAATATAGTTTTTGTTTTAACTGACTTTCTACAAAAAATCAATAAATTTTTAATATTTGAGCAAGTCAAATGTATAAGAGCAACGTACATTTATAAAAAAGGAATAAATGCGTTATTCCGCACTACGTTGTTATGGTGTTTCATTAGCTGTTTAGTGCTAAGAAGTATTGAATTAATTTTTGTTATGTTCGGTCCGTTGTTCATTAATTTCACTTTCTCTTATATTTTCCTTTACAGTTTTTGTTATTAAAATTTAAAAAGCGCATTACTTGAGAAAAATCCTAATAACAATTAATTAAGTTTAAATTAATGAATTAATGAAGTATTAAATAAAATAAAATAAAAATTGAAAAAATTGATCAATCTTTTAAATTCTCACTAATTTGTTGAAGCTATTTAAAATTTAAAAAAAAAAAAAATTTATCACCCCAGCAACATCTATCAAGTCCAAACATACGTTTTAACCGTCCTTCTTGTTTTATTGTTTTACATTTCCGGAAACCTTAAAATTTTAAAAGATCATCCTAAGAAAGATATTCAAATTCCAAAGTAGGTCAGAAACTCTGATCATCATCAAGCGAATCAAGTTTAAAGCATACAACTCAGTTTTTTCCAACATTAGGCGTACTCCCAAAAGGATGCAATTCGATTGCTGAGTGGGTAATTTAAAATTACACCTAAATTGACATTATGAGCTCTGGAAGTCTGATCACCAAGCCTGACTATTAAATACGAAGTAATATATTGTTGTAGTATATGGGAAAAGAAAGAGTTTGTATATCAGAAAGATAAAGGATATATGTCGTTTTTCGTCGACTAATTAGTGACATTTTCGAACACTGCTTTTAGTAATTCTGAATTGCACACTCTTAAATCAATTGCAATATATATTTTATAGGAAAGATATGCTAGGCTTTAAAGTATACTTCTATAAAATCATCTGAATAACTTATTATCAGAATTCAAGGGAGTTCTTATTAAAGTAGACCATCAGTGGTCAGTGGTCACAGCCACTATTGAGTAAAAGTGTTTTAGACACTAACTCGTGTTTGATCAAGCAAAGAAGAAGAAGAAGAATGAGAATAAGAAGAAGAATGAGAATAAGAATAAGATGAACAAGAAGAGAAAGAATAAAAAAAAGAACACTGATTATGAATATTATGTTAGTTAAAAAAATATAAAAGATTGAGAAAAATTGGTCTAAATTATTTAAAAAAATTTATATCCATTTTAACAATTCTTTATCTCTTCAACAATCTCTTCATCTTCAAGCAATGGAGGAATGATTTATTGGAACCCAAAATTCTTTCATATTTTAAAAAAAGGAGGTTTCACAATACGTTAGAGTGCTAGTGTAAGTAAAATGAGACACAAAAGAAGGAGTAAGATTACTAGCTTTAGCTCATTTATAAATACGTTCCATATATTTTATATAAACATATATATTCATATACATATAGATAGATATAAATTTATAGATGAAAAGTGAAACAATTAATAAAAAGAAATTGGCTATACTTACTTAAAGCATTTTTAATAAATTTCTTTTAGCTCAATAATATACTTTTACACACTTCCTTGCCACAAAATAATAAACTAAGAGAATTTGCTTTCTTTATTTACACAGGACGTAGCAACAGCTGTGTCACTTGTGGGATAATAAATAGAATCATCAATGCTTCAATAAAATATAATAAAAATATATGAACATACAGGGAGTTTTATGTAAGCATGCCTTAAACTGAGGAAAATTTAAGAAAGAGAAAAAAACATATAAAAGGAATCACCTTTCAATATTTGTCAAGATACCGGGTATTAAGCAGAACTCTGGCAAAAAAAAAAAGAATTTGAAACTAAATTATTTGAAAAAATGATATTTTATTTAATAAAATTTTAAAATATGACATTAAAATATTTTGTTATGTAGGTCTGCATAGAAGTAAACTGTTATTACATTAAAAAAAATAATATAAATATTATTGACATTACCTTGGACTTCATGCGA